GACCTCCAAAGAAGGCTTTTACCCTATGCCTTCGGCCCTCTAGGAGTTTTGGACTACAACTCCCACCATTCCTATTAGGAATGATGGGAGTTGAAGTCCAAAACACCCGGAGGGAAAGCTGAAGTGTTTCCAATCTGAATGACCTGCAAAGAAGGTAGTTACCGTATGCCTTTGGCCCTCTAAGTGACTACAACTCCCATAATTCCTGATAGGAATTGTGGGTGTTGAAGTCGAAAACACCCGGAGGGAAGGCTGAAGTATTTCCAATCTGAATGACCTCCAAAGAAGGCTTTTACCATATGCCTTCGGCCCTCTAGGAGTTTTGGACTACAACTCCCACCATTCCTATTAGGAATGGTGGGAGTTGAAGTCCAAAACACCTGAAGAGAAGCCTGAAGTGTTTCCAATCTTAATGATCATATGTTATCATATGCCTTTGGCCCTCCAGGTGTTTTGGACTACAACTCCCACGATTCCTATTAGGAATGGTGGGAGTTGAAGTCCAAAACAGCCGGAGAGAAGGCTGAAGTGGTTCCAATCTTAATGACTATATGTTACCATATGCCTTTGGCCCTCCAGGTGTTTTGGACTACAACTACAATTCGTATTAGGAATGGTGGGAGTTGAAGTCCAAAACACCTGAACAGAAGACTGAAGTGTATGGTCTTAATGACCATATGTTACCGTATGCCTTTGGCCCTCCAGGTATTTTGGACTTCTACCCTCCAGATATTTTGGACTTCTACTTCCACAATTCCTAATAGGAATTATGGGAGTTGAAGTCCAAAACACCTGGAGGGAAAGCTGAAGTTCGCCCATGCCTGATGTAGATGCATCCTTGGCCAAAACACATAGGAGCAACCATCCTTTTGGAAGGTCCAACCCATGCACTTCCCAGCTGGACCCGGCATCATTAAGCGCATTATGCAGAACCTGCTTCCGGGCCGGATGCATGATCGCAGCTGCATGTTCTGCCCACACAGCTCAGCCTTGTTCTCCACCCGCATCACATCTGTCGCTGAGGCAGGAGAAATCGGGTGTCCATAACAAACAAGCTCCGAAAATTGTGACATCTTCCCAATTATCCAGGATGGATATGTGCAAGGTGTTTGGGGAGTCATAATAGATCACAAGCCGAACGTGAGTCAAGAGTGTGATGCGGCAGCTATAAAGGCCAATGCGATTAGAGAGGCTGCATCAGGCATGGGCAAACTTTGACTCTCCGGGTGTTTTGAACTTCAACTCCCACAATTCCTGGCCTCAGGCCCCCTCCTTTCCCCCCTCAGCCGCTTAAGCAGAAAAATGCTCACAACCTCTGAGGATGCCTGCCATAGATGTGGGTGAAAGGTCAGGAGAGAATGCTGCTGGGACATGGCCAGACAGCCCGGAAAATTCGCAGCAACCCAGTGATTCCGGCCATGAAAGCCTTCAACAACACATTAAATCAAGACCTCACAACCTCTGAGGATGCCTGCCGTAGATGTGGGTGAAAGGTCAGGAGAGAATGCTGCTGGTACATGGCTAGACAGCCCAGAAAACTCATAGCAACCCAGTGATTCCGGCCATGAAAGCCTTCAACAACACATTAAATCAAGATCTCACGACCTCTGAGGATGCCTGCCATAGATGTGGGTGAAAGGTCAGAAGAGAATGCTGCTGGCTGGAAAACTCATAGCAACCTAGTGATTCCGGCCATGAAAGCCTTCGACAACACATTAAATCAAGACCTCACGACCTCTGAGGATGCCTGCTGTAGATGCAGGTGAAACATCAGGAGAGAATGCTGCTTTGACATAGCCATACAGCCCGGAAAACTCACAGCAGCCCAGTGATTCCGGTTATGAAAGCCTTCAACAACACATTAAATCAAGACCTCACAACCACTGATGATGCCTGTCGTAGATACAGGCAAAACTTCAGGAGGGAATGCTGCTGGGACATGGCCAGACAGCCTGGAAAACTCACAGCAGCCCAGTGATTCCGACTATATATATATATATGTATATATATATAGCCAGAATATATATATAGCCAGAAGAGATAAGGAACTATAATCTCTTCATTCATTCACACATACATATCTAAGGACAATTGTGTTCAAAGCACCCCAACAGATGGCCATACATACACACTGCCACCAGAACTTCTGAAGATGCCAGTTGCCACAGATGGAGGCCAAATGTCGGGAGAGAATGCTACCTGAGCATAGCCATACAGCCTGAAAAACCAACAGCAACCCAACTTCATGAGTCATTCCACACTGGAAGATGAGTTTGGTAGAGTTTCCTTTTTTTGAATATTCCCAACCAATTGTGGTTTGATTGTGTATTCCTAAATGGCAGAGGGGATGGACTAGATGTCCTTTGGGGTCTCTTCCATCGTTCTATACGCTTCTATAAGCACCCCAAGAAGAGTTTGGAAATGCCCCTTCTCTGGAAACAGGGGAGAGCTTTGGGTTGGGAATCCCATTCTCAGCTCTGGGTGGGCGGGAGGCACACCAGCCCTGCTTCGTTTCAAAGAATTATTGATGACTGAGTGCGGTTCCTGCGCATGGTTTGGGGCTTACTCACCCTCTCTCCCCATGGGCCAAACAGCTGCATTTACAGCTGGGCAGATAGGGAGGCAAAGAGCCAAGAACGGGGTTTTTGCAGGCGTTTGGGGAATAGCCAGCTAGCCTTTGGCACCTATACATACATTTGCAACCCAGAATGGATTACTTATGGGTTTTTGAGTTAAAATATTATCTCTAGGAATTTCTAGAGCAGGCCTGGGCCAACTTGGGCCCTCCAGGTGTTTTGGACTTCACTCCCCCATTCCTAACAGCCTACCGGCTGTTAGGAATGGTGGGAGTTGAAGTCCAAAACACCTGGAGGGCCCAAGTTGGCCCAGGCCTGGTCTAGCTCCACCATTGTGATTCTATGGTCAACTTGCTCCAGACATGTTTTGTTTTGATTCATATGTATTCTAATCCTAGCTGGTCCTGAACATCAGAGCATCGCTACCCAGCTATGTTCAGGAAGGTCTGGTTCTGCCTTTAGTCACAGGAAGAGCTGGCAAGAGGATTTAAATGACAGGATGAGATTCCACCTAAACATTAGGCAGAACTTCCTGACAGTCAATATGTAGTCAAGTTGGGGAGTCTCCTTCTCCGGATGGCTATCTGTTGGGAGGGCTTGGGTTTGGAGTCTCCTTCTCTGGATGGCTATCTGTTGAGGACTTGGGTTTGGAGTCTCCTTCTCTGGATGGCTATCTGTTGAGAGGACTTGGGTTTGGAGTCTCCTTCTCTGAATGGCTATCTGTTGAGAGGACTTGGGTTTGGAGTCTCCTTCTCTGGGTGACCATCAGTCAGGAGGGCTTGGATTGTGTCCCCCTGCCAAGTAGCACAGAGTTGGACTGGATGGCCTTTGGGGGTCCCTGATAGAATCACTGAGTTGGAAGTGACCTTGTGGGTCTTCCAGTCCAACCTCCTGCAGGACAATTGCCTTCAAAGCACTCCTGACAAGATGGCCATCCAGTTGGGGAGTCAAGTTGGGAGTCTCCTGTAGTCAAGTTGGGGAGTCTCCTTCTCTGGATGGCTATCTGTTGGGAGGGCTTGGATTGTGTCCTCCTGCTAAGCAGAATAGAGTTGGACTGGATGGCCTTTGGGGGTACCTTATAGAAGACCTTGTGGGTCTTCCAGTCCAACCCCCTGAAGGACAATTGCCTTCAAAGCACTCCTGACAAGATGGCCATCCAGTTGGGGAGTCTCCTTCTCTGGATGGCTATCTGTTGGGAGGGCTTGGATTGTGTCCTCCTGCCAAGCAGAACGGAGTTGGACTGGGTGACCTTTGGGGGTCCCTTATAGAAGACCTTGTGGGTCTTCCAATCCAACCCCTGCAGGACAATTGCCTTCAAAGCACTCCTGATGGCCATCTAGCCTGTTTCAAGTTGGAGAGTCAAGTTGGGGAGTCTCCTGTAGTCAAGTTGGAGAGTCTCCTTCTCTGGATGGCTATCTGTTGGGAGGGCTTGGATTGTGTCCTCCTGGCTGGCAGAACAGGGCTGGACTATATGGGCTTTGGGGGTCCCTGATAGAATCACCGAGTTGGAAGTGACCTTGTGGGTCTTCAAATCCAACCCCTATAAGAAAATCGCCTTCCTGACTGTGAGAACTGTTCAGCAGTGGAACTCTCTGCCCCGGAGTGTGGTGGAGGCTCCTTCTTTGGAGGCTTTTAAACAGAGGCTGGATGGCCATCTGTCAGGGGTGATTTGAATGCAATATTCCTTCTTGGCAGAATGGGGTTGGACTGGATGGCCCAGGAGGTCTCTTCCAACTCTATGATTCTATGACTGGACTTAATGTCAGGGGACAACCTTTACCTTTACCTAACAGTATCACCATTGTGTCTAGTAGTAGATTACCTTTCATTTTATCTGCATACGTTTAGCCTAGATCTAAGCCTCGTTGCTTCTCAATGTATTTGGAGACTACAAGTCCCATAAGTTACCGGCCAGGCACGGGAAGTGTAGTCCAACCCAACTAGAGAGACAGGATGGGCAAAATGGTCTAGTTGATCCCACTTGGATAGGACTTCTGGATGTTGTGGGATCGTAGCTCCCAGCTACTGAAACCAATGGTGAGAAATAATGGGATGTATAGTTCCATCAACATATAGTTTGTCAGCATGTGCTGATTTATGGCAATCTGATGAAATATAGTTTTATGAAGCCAGGTGTCCTCATTCCTCTGAAATACACATCCTAATGAAGCCTGAAATTCATTGGTGGTTTCCCATCCAATTCCTAACCAGGGGTGACCCTGCTTAGCTTCCAAGATCTGATGGGATCTCACTAGTTTGTGAAGTTTTGCTAGGTGCTTCCTCTGAAATACGGCTGATAGCACCCGGGGAATTCATTGGCGGACTCCCATCCAATTCCCAACCAGGGCTGGCCCTGCTTAGCTTCCAAAATTCACATACATTTAAGTCAAGACACCATTGAAGAAGAAAAAAATTGCAAACCCATTTCGTAACAATAGGCATTTGTTTAATAACAAAAACACTCACAAAAACTATTGTAGAACAATATTCTCAGGAGAAAAACCAATAATAACAATAATAATAATATAAGGCATTGTAATATACAATACAAGGATGAGTCTCAGAAATCTGAGAAGTATTCGGAGAGAGAATTAACATTCTGCTTTTTCTGTAAAAACAAAACACATTGCTCCAACTATATAAACATCAAAGGGCACCCAAAGGAGGTGCGGCTTAGAGGAGTTCAGTCCGGGTTCCAGGCTGGAGCCTTCTTCCGGTTCCGTGCTGCTTCCTTGGTCGGGACAACAGATGGGATGTCTAGCGCTCAAAGCCCAGCGCCGCCACGTCACCAGCCACCTTCCCCTGCCATTGGAGGGGCCAAAGGCGAAAGAAAGCTGCCTTTTCTCCCTGGGATTTTCCTTCCAGCCCCAAAGACCGTCAGCGGCACAAGATGCGGTCATCCGGGTTGACGCAAGCAGCCTGCAAAGGAAGCAGAAAGATCGGCAACGGGTTATTCCCTTGTTTGTCAATCAAAGGCTAAAGTCTTCCTCTTTTGTATTTTTTGGCCATAACAAGGCTTTCATGGCCACTGGGTTGTTGTAGGTTTTTTGGGCTGTATGGTCATGTTCTAGAAGCATTCTCTCCTGACGTTTCACCTGCCTCTCACAACCTCGGAGGATGCCTGCTGTAGATGCAGGCGAAACGTCAGGAGATAATGCTGCTGGGACATAGCCAGACAGCCTGGAAAACTCACAGGAACCCAGTGATTCCGGCCATGAAAGCCTTCGACAACACATTAAATCAAGACCTCACAACCTCTGAGGATGCCTGCTGTAGATGCAGGCAAAATGTCAGGAGAGAATGCTGCTGAGACATAGCCAGAATGGTGCTACAAGTCGCACCATTCACAGCAGCCCAGTGATTCTGGTTATGAAAGCCTTCAACATATTAAATAAAGACCTCACAACCTCTGAGGATGCCTGTTGTAGATGCAGGAGAAATGTCAGAAGAGAATGCTGCTGGGACATAGCCAGACAGCCTGGAAAACTCACAGCAGCCCAGTGATTCCGGCCGTGAGAGCCTTCGACAACACATTAAATCAAGACCTCACAACCTCTGAGGATGCCTGTTGTAGATGTAGGTGAAACATCAGGAGAGAATGCTTCTAGAACATGGCCATACAGCCCAAAAAACCTACAACAACTATGAAGCTTGCAATCCTTGGAATCAATGCAAAAAGCAACCAGGAAGGAAATGAAATTGTAACCTGGGGAGCAAAGGGTGGAAAGGAGCACCCAAACAATACTGGGGCCCCATCTACCCAATTCTAAGGACTGAATGCAGATTATCTGCTTTAAACTGGATTATATGAGTCTACACTGCCATATAATTGTATATGTTTTTTTTAATGATATTCAATACTGTTTTAATACTTGTATATTTTGAGTTGCATTTTGTTGTGCTTTTGTTGTGGGCTGTTTTTGAGTCTCTGTATGGATTGACCCAATCAGCATCCCAACGTCCTACAGTAATCTATTATTGTTGTTGTTGTTGTTGGGCAGTGTTTATTCTGAGGTCACACAAGTCAAAGTGTAAGTTTCCTATATCAGTAGCAGGTGGACTAGATGATCTTTGGGAGGCCCTTTCCCTATTTTACACTTCCTTTGGGGCAAAAAAGTAAAGTTCTTTAAGACTGGAAAGAGGGACTAGAGCACACACTCCTTCTACGCTGCTTTGAACCGGATTATCTGAATCTACACTGCCGTATAATCCAGTTTAAAGCAGATAATTATTATTATGTGGCAGTGTAGAAGGGGTCTTGTAATTGCAATGGGTCAAGTTGTAGTTTGGTTGACTGATTGGAAACATAAACATAATAATAATAATAATAGATCCAAGGGGAGATATAAAGTCAGTAAGTAATAATAATAATAATAATAATAATAATAATAATAATAATAATAAGATATATGAAGTCAGTAGGTAGGTAGGTTTAGCTAAGTATAGGACTACACCAAATAACAACAATATAGGTATATCTAATAGGGGATAGTATGTAAGTAGGTTTAGGTAAGCACAGGTCTACACCTAATAATAATAATAATAATAATAATAATAATAATATAGGTAGATCCAATAGGGGATAGTCAGTAACTAGGTAGGTTTAGGAAAGTATAATAATAACATAGATAAATAATAATAATATAGGTAGAGCCAATAGGGGATAAAGTCTACAAGTAGGTAGGTTTTGGTAAGTATAGGTCTACACCTAACAAATAATATAAATAATAATAATATAGGTAGAGCCAATAGGGGATAGTCGGTAAGTAGGTAGGTTTAGGCAAGTATAATAATAATAATAATAATAATAATAATAATATAATAATAATAATATAATAATATAGAATAATAATAATAATAATAATAATAATAATAATAATGGTGTATTCAATAGGGGATAAAGTCTACAAGTAGGTAGGGTTTGGGTAAGTATAGGTCTACACCTAATTAATAATAATAATAATAATAATAATAATAATAATAATATACAGTAGGTAGATACATTAAGGGAAAGACAGTAAGTAGGTAGATTTAACAGGACTACACCTAATAATATTAATAAAAATAATATAATATATAACAATAATATAGGTAGATCCAATAAGGGAATAGGTAAAGTCAGTAAGTAGCTAGGTTTAGGTAAATATAGGACTACACCTAATAATTATAATAATAATAATAAATATATAATATATAATAATAGGTAGATCCAATAGGGGTTAGCTAGTAAATAGGTTTAGATAAGGATAAAACTACAATAATAATTAATTAATAATATTATATTATAATAGACATTAAATAATAATAATAATAATAGGTGTAGTTCTGGACCTACCAAATTATTGACTTTATCCTCAATTGTATCTACCTATTATTATTATATATATTATTTATTGTTATTGTAATCCTATACTTGCCTATACCAACTAACTTACTGACTTTATACCCAATTGAATATGTCAGTAAGTTGTAAGTATAGGATCACAATAACAATAATATATAATAATAACAATAGGTAGATCCAATTTGGGATAAAGTCAGTAAGTTGGTAGGTCTAGGACTACACTTATTATTATTATTATTTACAGGTATATCCAATAGAGGATATATAATGTCAGTAAGTAGGTAAGTATAGGTCTAAACCTAATAATATAATAATAGTAATAGGTATATGCAATAGGGGAATAGGTAAAGTCAGTAAGTAGGTAGCTTTAGGCAAGTATAAGACTACACCATATATGTGTGTGTGTGTGTGTATGATCCAATAGAGCAGGTATATGGCCTTCCAGGTGTTTTGGACTTCGACGGGAGTTGGAAATCCAAAACACCTGGAGGGCCGAAGTTTGCCCATGCCCGCAAGAGAGGATAGTCAGTAAGTAGGTATGTTTAGGTTAGTATAAGGTCTACACCTAATAATAATAATACAGGTAGATCCAATAGGGGGATAAAGTCAGTAGGTAGATAACTTTAGGTAAGTATAGTGCTACACTTAATGATGACAATAATAATAATAATAATAATAATAATAATAATAATAATAATAATAATGGTAGATCCAATAGGGGGATAAAGTCAGTAGGTAGGTAGCTGTAGGTAAGTATAGGGCTGGCTACACTTAATAATATATAATAATATATAATAATAATAATAATATATAATAATAATAATAATATATAATAATAATAATAATAATAATAATAAAATAATAATACAGATAGATCCAAAAGGGGGATAAAGTCAGTAGGTAGGTAGCTGTAGGTAAGTATAGGGCTACACTTAATAATAATAATAAAAAGGTAGATCCATTTAGGTAAGTATAGGGCTACACTTAATAATAATAATAATAATAATAATAATAATAATTATACAGATAGATCCAAAAGGGTGATAAAGTCAGTAAGTTGGTAGCTTTAAGTAAATATAGGGCTACACTTAATAATAATAATAATTATAACTAATAATAATATACAATAATAATAATAATAATAATAATAATAATAATAACAACAACAGGTAGATCCAATAGGGGGATAAAGTCAGTAAGTAGGTAGCTTTAGGGAAGCATAGGGCTGGCTACAATTAATAATAATAATATACAGGTAGATCCATTTAGGTAAGTATAGGGCTACACTTAATTATTATTATTATTATTATTATTATTATTATTATTATTATACAGGTAGATCCAAAAGGGTGATAAAGTCAGTAAGTTGGTAGCTTTAGGGAAGTACAGGGCTACACTTAATAATAATAATAATAATAATAATAATAATAATAATAATAATGGTAGATTCATTTAGGTAAGTATAGGGCTATACTTTATTATTATTGTTATTACTATTAAGTGTAGCCCTATACTTACCTAAATGGATCTACCTGTATATTATTATTATTATTATTATTATTATTATTATTATTATTATACAGGTAGATCCAATAGGGGGATAAAGTCAGCAAGTTGGTAGCTGTAGGTAAATATAGGGCTAACTTAATTATTATACAGGTAGATCCAATAAGGGGATAAAGTCAGAAAGTTGGTAACTTTAGGAAAATATAGGTCTACACTTAATAATAATAATAATAATAATAATAATAATAATAATACATGTAAATCCAATAGGGGGATATAGTCAGTAGGTAGGTAGCTGTAGGTAAGTATAGGGCTACACTTAATTATTATACAGGTAGATCCAATAAGGGGATAAAGTCAGAAAGTTGGTAACTTTAGGAAAATATAGGTCTACACTTAATAATAATAATAATAATAATAATAATAATAATAATACATGTAAATCCAATAGGGGGATATAGTCAGTAGGTAGGTAGCTGTAGGTAAGTATAGGGCTACACTTAATTATTATACAGGTAGATCCAATAGGGGGATAAAGTCAGAAAGTTGGTAACTTTAGGTAAATATAGGGGATAAAGTCAGTAGGTAGGTAGCTATAAGTAAGTATAGGGCTACACCTAATAAATAATAATTATTATTATACAGGTAGATCCAATAGGGGGATAAAGTCAGAAAGTTGGTAACTTTAGGGAAGTATAGTGCTACACTTAATAAATAATAATAATAATAATATAGATGTAGATCCAATAGGGGGATAAACTCAGAAGGTAGGAAGCTTTAGGTAAGTACAAGACTCCCTCCAAGTGCGAGGGGGTTCCATAGCCCTGAGCCATGGCAGTGGGAAGCGGTGCTAAACCGCGATAACTAACTCTGCAGTGCAGCCGGGCGCTCGCTCACCTCGGGCAAAGTCCCTGCGGGCTCTCCGCCTGGGGTGTCGGGCTCCTCCTGGAGCTCGAGCTGGAGGTCCCAGATGTAGTCGATGACGTGCTGGAGGATCTCCACCTTGGAGACGCGCCGGTGCCGGGGCAAAGTGGGCACGAGGGCGGCCAGGCGGGAGTAGCAGCCCTTCATGTCCATCAGGAGCGAGGCGGCGGCGGCGGCTTGCTCGGAAAGGCACCGGGCGTTGCTGTTATGGTTGGGCGCCGCTTCGCCAGAGCCCAGCCGGACCCCTTTGAGGGCGCAGCTCGGGCCCGGAGACACAACGGCAGCTGCACTGGCCACTTTCATCGCGGGATAAAACCGGTATAACAAAGCTGAGCACAAAAACAACAACTCGTTGGAAGCGGCCGGGAAAACTCCAGAGCGGCAGAGCGAGCGGCTGTGTTTATAGTGCGCCGACGTTCCATGGGTGGCGCGCCTTAGCCAATCGGGAGGCCGCTTTCGGGGAAGTGGGCGTGGCTTCCTCAGCTACTTTGCCCCTACTTTGTGTACATTCTTTGCTTCTTTTTTTCCAAATGGGAAACAATTTGGTTTTTTTCCCCCCTCCTTCCTTTTTTCCCTTTCTCACTCATTTTTTTTTTGTTTTTTTTTTTTGGTAAAGCTGCAGGTGGAGAAGGCTCGGGGGCATTTTATCTAAGACAAAAAAAAAAGAAAGGAAAGAGGATGAAAGGAATGTGACAACAAGCACTTTTTGGGGGGGGGGGGAATAAGATTTTAATGACAACTTGGACACTTTCTCCTCCTTCTTCCCTCCTCCTCCTCCCCTTCCATTCCCACCCTGATTTTTTTTTTAAAAAAGGAATAGTTCACAAACACAAGGAACAAATAGCTTTTATCACCTCCTTTTTGATTTTATAGTATTTTGATGTTTTGCAAGTTGCTTTTCGACACCTGGTTTGCACAGAGGAAGCAGAAATGGATCCAGACTTTTATCTTTCTCCCCTTCTTTTCTGCAAAGTTATCCAATTAAATGCATTTATAATTAAAAATATTATTTTTATTTTTAATATTATTTTCTATATCATTATATTATATTAATTATATTTATTTTTAATATTATTTTCTATATCATTATTATATTATATTATATGATATTATTATATTATAATTATACTATTAACACTGTTATTAATGGCTAGTTATCCAATTAAATGCATTTATAATTTAAAATATTATTTTTATTTTTAATATTATTATTTATTATTTTTAATATTTATTTTTAATATTATTTTCTATATCATATTATAATGATATTATAATTATTATACTATTAACACTGTTATTAATGGCTAGTTATCCAATTAAATGCATTTATAATTAAAATATTATTATTATTATTTTTTAATATTTATTTTTAATATTTATTTTTAATATTATTTTCTATATCATTATTATATTATATTATAATTATAATTATTATACTATTAACACTGTTATTAATGGCTAGTTCTCCAATTAAATGCATTTATAATTAAAAATATTGTTTTATGTTTAATATTTTTTATTATTTTTAATATTTATTTTAATATTATTTTCTATATCAATATATTATATTATAATTATTATACTATTAACAGTTATTAATAGCTAATTAATTATGAATTATAAATTATAATATACATTATATTATTGTACATTGCACATTTCATAATTTTTATTATATAATATGTATGTAAAATATAATAATGTAATGCATATATAATTTATATTATATTATAAATTTATTATAAATTTTATATTTATTTTAAATTATTTATTTTTATAATATAATTTATAATATAATATAAATTACAATATACATTATACTATTGCACTTGCACACTTCATAGTTTTTAAATATATGTATAATATAATAATAAACATTTTATTAAACATTTTATTATTATATTATACATATAAAAATTATGAAGTGTGCAAGTGCAATAGTATAATGTATATTGTAATTTATATTATATCATAAAAATAAATAATATAATATAAATATAAAATTTATAATAAATTTGTAATATAATATAAATTATAATATACATTGTATTATTGTACATCGCACATTTCATAATTTTTATAATATAATATTTATAATATAATAATATAATGTACGTTATAATTTATATTATATTATACATTATATTATAAAATAAATAATGTAAAATAAATATAAAATTTATAATACATTTGTAATATAATATAAATTATAATATACATTTTATGATTGTACATTGCACATTTCATAAGTTTTAAATATATGTATAATATAATAATATAATTTATATTATATTATACATTATATTATAAAACAAATAATATAAAATAAATAATAAATTTAAAATATAATATAAATTATAATATATATATTATATTATTATATTATACATATTTTTATATTAAAACATTATATCATTGTTTAACTAATTCATGTTTATAATATAATATGTATAATATAATAATATAATTTATATAATAATTTATATTATATTTTAAACTATATTATAAAACAAATAATATAAAATAATATTATAATATATATTTTATTATTATATACATTGTATTATTTGTTGCACATTTCATAATTTTTAAATATATGTATAATATAATAATATAATTTATATAATAATTTATATTATATTATACATTATATTATAAAACAAATAATATAAAATAAATAATAAATTTAAAATATAATATAAATTATAATATATATATTATATTATTATATTATAATATAATATAATATATTATTATTATTATATTATATATTATTTATTATAAATTTATTATTATTATTATATTATTATTATATTTTTATTTTATTATTTTATTACATTTATTCTACAACTTGCAAAACTATCCACTTCCCAGGATTCCATTGCACTCAGCCATGGGGGGTGAAGTGGGGCCGAACTGCATTAATTCCACAGTGTGGATGCAATCTCTGAAACCACAGCACATTGCACATTTCAAGGGCTCTGTCTTCCCAGCCCCCAGACCCCCCCCCCTCATTTCCCAAAACAAAATAAATTAAAATCTCTTTGCATTCTTCCTTCTTTTTTTCCCTGCCTTTCTTTCTTTCTTTCTTTCTTTGCAAAAGCCTGGAGCTTGGCCCGGGCTGGCTGTTCCCACCGCGGCGCCCTCCCTCCCTCCGCAGAGCCAGCGGCTCAGACCGCGCGGCGCCAAGGCCCGTGACGTCACCCCATTCATAAAAACCCGGAGCGCTGTCAGCCTGGCGCCTGGCGGCCGGTCACCATGGAAACCGCAGAGGGCGGGGGAGGGAGGGAGCGGGAAGAGCGGCTCCCAGCATTCCATCGCATTCAGCAAAAAGCCAGCACTCTCCTCCATACAATCATAGAATCATAGAATCAAAGAGTTGGAAGAGACCTCCTGGGCCATCCAGTCCAACCCCCTGCCAAGAAGCAGGAATATTGCATTCAAATCACCCGACAGATGGCCATCCAGCCTCTGTTTAAAAGCTTCCAAAGAAGGAGCCTCCACCACACTCCAGGGCAGAGAGTTCCACTGCTGAACGGCTCTCACAGTCAGGAAGTTCTTCCTCATGTTCAGATGGAATCTCCTCTCTTGTAGTTTGAAGACATTGTTCCGCGTCCTAGTCTCCAAGGAAGCAGAAAACAAGCTTGCTCCCTCCTCCCTGTGGCTTCCTCTCACATATTTATACATGGCTATCATATCTCCTCTCAGCCTTCTCTTCTTCAGGCTAAACATGCCCAGTTCCCTAAGCCGCTCCTCATAGGGCTTGTTCTCCAGACCCTTGATCATTTTAGTCGCCCTCCTCTGGACACATTCCAGCTTGTCAATATCTCTCTTGAATTGTGGTGCCCAGAATTGGACACAATATTCCAGGTGTGGTCTAACCAAAGCAGAATAGAGGGGTAGCATTACTTCCCTAGATCTAGACACTATGCTCCTATTGATGCAGGCCAAAATCCCATTGGCTTTTTTTGCCGCCACATAACATTGTTGGCTCATGTTTAACTTGTTGTCCACGAGGACTCCAAGATCTTTTTCACACGTACTGCTCTCGAGCCAGGCATTGTCCCCCATTCTGTATCTTTGCATTTCGTTTTTCCTGCCAAAGTGGAGTATCTTGCATTTGTCACTGTTGAACTTCATTTTGTTAGTTTTGGCCCATCTCTCTAATCTGTCTAGATTAGAGAGATGGGCCAAAACTAACAAAATGAAGTTCAACAGTGACACATCACTATTCTCACAAAATATATTATTATTATTGTACACTGACCATATAATAGTAATATAATAATATAGTAATATACTATTATTATTATTATTATTATTATTATTATTATTATTATTATACATTGCCATGTAGTAGTCTGAATATAATAATAATCAACATAATATACTAATATACTACCACTACTACTACTACTATTATTATTATTATTATACATTGCCATGTAGTAGTCTGAATATAATAATAATCAACATAATATACTAATATACTACTACTACTATTATTATTATTATTATTATATTATTATACATTGCCATGTAGTAGTCTGAATATAATAATAATCAACATAATATACTAATATACTACCACTACTACTATTATTATTATTATTATTATTATACATTGCCATGTAGTAGTCTGAATATAATAATAATCAACATAATATACTAATATACTACCACTACTACTACTACTATTATTATTATTATTATACATTGCCATGTAGTAGTCTGAATATAATAATAATCAACATAATATACTAATATACTACTACTACTATTATTATTATTATTATTATACATTGCCATGTAGTAGTCTGAATATAATAATAATCAACATAATATACTAATATACTACCACTACTACTATTATTATTATTATTATTATACATTGCCATGTAGTAGTCTGAATATAATAATAATCAACATAATATACTAATATACTACCACTACTACTACTATTATTATTATTATTATACATTGCCATGTAGTAGTCTGAATATAATAATAATCAACATAATATACTAATATACTACTACTATTATTATTATTATTATTATTATTATTATACATTGCCATGTAGTAGTCTGAATATAATAATAATCAACATAATATACTAATATACTACCACTACTACTACTACTATTATTATTATTATTATACATTGCCATGTAGTACTCTGAATATAATAATAATCAACATAATATATTAATATACTATTATTATTATTATTATTATTATACATTGCCATGTAGTACTCTGAATATAATAATAATGTATTATTATACACTGAGCAGAAATAGTCTGAATATAATAATATATTCATATATTATTATAATTATACACTGATCATATAATAGTCTGAAAATAACAATTATATGCT